CTTACCATGAATCAATGAGAATCTATAGTTTCTCCATCAATTTTTACTTGGTTTCTTACTTGATTGAGGAGAATCTATGATTTCTTATTTACTATGAATCAAAGAGAATTTCTGATTTCTTACCCTGAATCAAAGAGAATCTCTAGAGATTCTCTTATTATGAATCTAGAAGAATCTATAGTTTCTTATCATGAATTCTTACCATGAATCAAAGAAAATCTATAATTTTTTGGTTTGTTTATTACCCTAAATCAAAGAAAATTATGATTTCCTCGTTTGTTACATAGATCAAGGCCTACCATGTAATCCTAGTTATCATTGTTTGTTACCATGATCAAAGAGAAGGTATGATTTACTGGTTTGTTACATGGATCAAAGACAATGTTTGATTTCTTAGTTTGTTACATGAATCAAGGAGGATATATGATTTCTTGGTTTGTTACATGGATGAAGCCTACCATATGATCCTCATTATACACATCTATAAATACATGAGGTGGTGACCCAGGCCTACCATGTGATCTTCATTATACACATCTATAAATTATAGACATCTATAAATACATGAGGTGGTGACCCATATAGGTCATAGTGCCCGGTAACCCTAAAAGAAAATGAGAAAAATCCCTAATTAAATAGTATTTAAACACTCATCTCCCCTCCATGATTTGTAAAATAATGAAACATTTTATTAAAATCATATTTATTAAAGAAGTTAGACCCAAACTTCAAAGCAGCAATAGGTAGAACAAATCTAGAAATGGAAATTTAGCAAACATGAAACTAAGGAACAGACCCAGAAAAAGAACAAAAAGGTTTATCACTTACAGCCTCTCCCCAAGATCATCTAAAGATCAATGGAATGACAATGGATGCTTCTCCCTAGTCCGAGCGACTCGATCTCTTTGATCTTTTCGTTTCTTCGGGAATAAACGAGTCTGCATCATGTCAAGCAACTGTGATTGAAGATGGTTGTTCATCTCCATAACTTGCTTCGTCATTCTAGACGCCCACATTCGGCTTTGTAAACGTGTATCGACTTTCATCTGTATTGCTGCCGATGTCCCTTCTGTCTGAACACACAATGGCAAGGGAGTATGAATATATTGATAATACAAGCTGCACTTTATCCATTGGACGTACTTAGCAGCTAAAGTAAAGGCACAATGTAGAAGAGTTGAAAGAGAGTGTGACCTTCATATCAAATATTTGCTGATTCAGTGAACCGGCACTTGTGAATCCAATGAGATTTGGATTCTCCCCGAGGGGTCGGGAAGAGGGAAAGAGAGGTATTGTGCTCGTCGACAAGTTGGCTGGCTGGGGATACTTGTCGAACTGTTTCAAGACTCTCTTACGGTTTGACGTAGAGATCAGCAGCGACGACCGTGGAACTGCTACCAAGTTGGTTATTCTCCCTGTTGATAGATCCCATATAAGTTCGTGTTCATCAACAAAAGAACATGAAGAACAGAACATTAAATTGCCTCGAACAAGAAAATTACATCTGAGGAGTAATTACCTTTCTTGTGTTCAAGCTTTTGAATGATCATCTGACTATTGATGTCCCATATGCAGACTGTGCAATCCTCGGATGCAGAAACTAGATCCATTAGACTGAAGGCCAGAGCAGTAATAGCTCCCCTGCATTAATGGTGGAAACTTGAACATGAAGTTACCATTAAAGTATACAAGGCAAAGGAACAAAGATGGTCTTGCAGCTTGTATAATATTAATTGTTGTCAAAGGAAAGAAAATATATATAATGTAACCGCCCAAGCCCATCACTAGCAGATATTGTCCTTTTTAGACTTTTTCATTCGAGATTCTCCCCAAGGTTTTTAAAACGCGTCTACTAGGGAGAGGTCTCCACACCCTTATAAGGAATGTTTTGTTCCCCTCTCCAACTAATATGGGTTCTCACAATCCACCCTCTTGAGGCACTGTGTCCTCGCTGGCACACCGCCTGGTGTCTGACTTTGATATCATGTGTAACAGACCAAACCCACCACTAGCAAATATTGTTCTCTTTGGATTTTCAGATTTGGGCTTCCCCTCAAGGTTTTTAAAACGCGAATACTAGGGAGAGGTTTCCACACCCTTATAAGAAATGTTTTGTTCTCCTCTCCAACCGATGCGGGATCTCACAATCCACCCCCTTGGGGGCCCAGCATCCTTGTTGGCACACCGTCCGGTGTTTGGCTTTGATACCATATGTAACAGTCCAAACCCACCACTAGCAGATATTGTTCTCTTTGGATTTTCACTTTCAGGCTTCCCTCAAGGTTTTCAAAACACCTCTACGAGGGAGAGGTTTCCACACCCTTATAATGAATGTTTCGTTCCTCTTTTCAACTGATGTGGAATCTTATAACAACGATAATAAGAATTTAAAAAATAACAGAAAAGGAAAGTCGTACTACAAACAACGCAGAGAAATTTCTAAGTAGCATACATTACTTGTGTCCTGTTGATGCAAATAATTGGCTTTCTTTAATGGTAATGCAGTTATCCAATCCAAATTCAAGCCTGCTAGCAAAAATTTTCCCATCAACAGTCCCAGAGAACAGAAATTGCTCAGTTGGATGAAGAACAATCTCAGTGATTCCCTCTACATGAGCTTGAGTTCCCCGAATCATTCCCGACATTAAATCCCAAAACTGCAACCCAGAAATGTTAATCAAGCTATAAGTTTATCAGACCTCAAAACAATAATAGATACAATGTTATAGTTTACCAACCTTTAAACTGCCATCGAGGGAGCTTGAAATGATCATCGACATCGAGTAGCCAGACATAGTAATTAGACCAGTTAAAGACGACTTATGTTCCATGAGACTGTATAATATTGGCTGTGCGCTTCCCACAAGTTCCACATCCAGCAAACTAGCATAAAGTTCGAGGGAAAAATTACAACTACGAAAAGTTACCGAAAATGCATCAATCAACGAGGTTGTAAAGGCATTGTGAAGAGAATAAATTTACCTAATCATGGACCACACAAAAATCATTCCATCGGCCGAACCAGTAATGAGAAACGAATCGTCCCAAGAAAACAGGATGAATTTTATGGGCTTATGATGCCCACTCCAAAGCTTAAGCAATTTACCACTACCAACCTGCAAATTGCCTCAACCAAATGAGACTCTGGAGGATGTATATGTACAAAATTCACATACAGATATACAAAATGGATTGAAAATAAGATGAACAACCAAATCAATATTGAATTATCACATATATGCATATAGATACCCAATACTGGATGAAAAAACAAGAGAATTTCAGCCAACTACTGACCTCCCAGAGATGAATATTACCGGAATGAGCTCCGCCTGCAAGATATACACCGTCCTTTGTTGAGGCAAGTGGTCCAATAGGCTCCAATGGATAGCTCCTAAGAGGGGACTGCGGCTGAAAAGGCACAATGATTTAAGGCTTAATATTGTAAATCACCCCTAAAATCGAACAAGTGAGTTCTTAATATTAATCGAGTTCAAGATTACTCAAGCGTGTTTGTAAAGAATCGAATCGTCTATGATTATACAAACAATGATAGCATCTGAAAGAAAATGTGTATTCAAAAGCAGATTAATCGATAGTTCAATACCTTGCTCAGGGACCAAACGAACATGGATCCACCACCAACGGACCCTTCCTTACGAGTCTGAGAAGCAACAAGGAACTCGTTTCTCAAGGAAATTAAACCATAAGAAGGCGAAGCGCAAGTCGGAATGTGAAGGAGAGTTTCGCCTGTTTTCGGATCCCAAATCGTAATCCCTGATCCCATGTTCTTGTCGCTGCACACAGCCAACGCCATTGTTTCGCCAACATTGCTCATTTTTTGACGTTGGAAGAGATGAAAGCAAAACTTCTCCCATTAATGGAGGATATGGAGGTAATGCATGCGAAGGCTCGACTGCTTATGCGCGTGCATTCAATTCAATGACGCCTGTCAATTGAAAGAGACAAAATCAGTTGAAGCGATTTAAACTTTCGGTTCACCTTCCAAGTTTGGCTTCAGGGATCAACGAGCCAGAATCCTCTCGGCGCTAGTGACCTCCGTGCAGTCAATTTGCCGCCACCGCCACAGCCGCCGCCGCCCGCTCGAACCTTTTGAAATAAATACAAAAATTTAAAATTAAAATTTTGGGCTACTTTATAAAATTTAGAGTTAAAATTGCTCTAATTTAATTTAATTAAAAGTTTAGAATAAAAATTAATCATTTTCTCAAAATAATAATAATAATAATAACACCAATTTTTTTAAGAGAGAACGAGGAGATTTTAACTTCCAAATTTTAAGTCAATAAATAAAATTAAAATTGAAATATGTAGTTTTTTTTATTACTACGAGATCAAAATTTCAGACATGTCAACGTTTTCAAGCGAATGTCTGTCTACTTTATTCCTCCCGAGCCTTCCATGCTTCAAAGGTGATTTTTCTTATATCATTCGTCCATTTCGTCTACTTTTAGACTTGGATCATCTCGAGACAGACACTATCCTGCCTAAAACGGATTCATTGAGAATATTCATTTGAAAGTTGACTCGGATAACTGTCAATGTCAAACTACAGTACAACACAATACATCTTGTTTAGCAAAAAGACAAAGATTTCTGACTTATCATCAAACAATCAGACAATCACATATTCACAAACCTCAAACCTCGTTAGTAGCTAATAGTTTGAATTTCCCTCTCTGCTTAGCCCTATCCCTGAGGATATTTTAGTGATAGGTTTTATAGGAACTGAACGATTCTATTTGGTCAAATACCTAACGACAAACTCCTATCTTCCGTTCGTTACAGTATTTCTGAACAAATTTCTTGATAACAAGTCTAAGAGTTTGATTATTGATGATTGTGATGATATCGACCGTGATTTCATACAGAACTGGAGCTGATGAATGTGCTAACTATTGATATGATGCCGGAAATAGACCGAGACGAAAGTTGTAACGTTCTTGATGATAATCACCAATATAATATAGTGTAGCAATTAAAGTACAAAAAAATTGAGAGTGATCGGAGTGCAACAATGGCGAAAATTTGTATTTAAAAGGAAGCAGTCATCCTTAGTCATCGGCTTTGTGCTGTAAATCTTGGAATTGCGAAGCCAGAAACTACACTCTCTCTGTTTTCAGATTTCAGTCGGAGAAAGCCGAGATCGATCAACGTCGTTCAGATTCTTAATCGCTGTAATGGCCGGTGAGATTTCTTCTCTTCGTTTCGTTTTCCTCTGCTTTCGAATCCTGTATGATACTGTTCTTAACAATGTCCAGATCGAGCGCGCGCTACCGCTCGTTCTTTTAGCCTATGGCTCTCATCGAATCCAAGCAAGAGATGGGGAGAATTGTTTTTTCTTTCCTATACTCCATTTTGGCTAACTCTTTGCTTGGGAATCATCGTCCCTTTCAAACTCTACGAGGTTTGCCCTCTCGAACTCGCTGAAATGGTGCCATTATCAACACTCTTTCTTTTGTTTGATATCACTGTATTGCTTGTAGTTTTATCTTGTTTCTGTTCATATTCGACTTTGTTTTCGAGAAGTCATCAAGGAAGAATGGAAGTGGCTAGGTTTCAAGATAGAATAGGGATTTAACCAAGAATTGGGACTCAACTGTGTTATGATTAAGCCTTTTCTGTTCTTGAAACCGATAATCATCCACAAATTGCTTTGAGATGAACTTTTCTCAAATCTTTCTATTATCAAAAGTCTAAACATGATGATTCTGATTGACAGAGTTTCACGGAAATGGAATATATGGTTCTTGGTTTGGTTGCAGCAGTTCCTTCTTTCTTGATACCAGTGGTGTGGCCTGGAGAGGTACAATTTACTACCTCTTCATTTCTATGATCCGATAACCAAACCCCCTTCACATATTTGTTTATGGGAACCAATGGATTACAGGTTAACTTCATGGGACAGGAAGATTTTCTTCAGTCTAAGGACTGGTGTTTCCCTAAGATTCACATGTGAAACTGAATGTTAATCACTAAAAAGTTCTAAAAAATCAAGATCTAGGCATATCAAGTGATATAATTTGCTTGGAATTGGTTGCAGGCTGACAGGAATTTGCCTTGGAAAGAGCGTTATTGGGTAAAGGTTCGTTTTCTACCCTTTTTTAGCATTAATACCATTAATGTAACCATCCAAGCCCAAACTCAAATCTACCGTTAGCAGATATTGTCATTTTTGTGTTTTTCCTTTCAGACTTCCCCTCAAGGTTTTTAAAACACGGTAGAGGTTTCTACACTTTTTATAAACAATGCTTCTGGTTGTTACAAGTGGTATCAGAGCCCGATACCGAGGGGAGGAGAACAAAGTATTTTTTTTTAAGGATGTGGAAACCTCTCCCAAATAAACGTATTTAAAAGTCTTGAGAAGAAGCCCAAAAAAGACTAATATATGCTAGAGGTGGGATTGAACTCTCAACTCTCAAACTAGATGGCTACCACATCAATTTAAACTCTACCTAAGATGTTTTCCTCTTTGTGGCAGGTTAGTCTATGGATAGCAATCTTCAGCTACGTGGGAAATTACTTTTGGACTCACTACTTTTTCACTGTTTTGGGGGCATCTTATACGTTTCCATCATGGAGGATGAACAATGTAAGAACGGAAAGAATTGAAAGGAAAAGTAGAAGAAAATATCAGAAAGAAGATAAAGGATTTGTTAATTTTGCAGGTACCTCATACGACGTTTCTTCTTACGCATGTCTGCTTTCTATTGTATCATGTCACATCCAACATGACTCTTAGAAGACTCCGGCATTCTATTGCCGGCTTGCCAGAGCATATTCAACGGGCTACCATGGTTGCATGGATTGTGGCTCTCTCATACTTCGTTGCATACTTGGAGACTCTGGCCATTTCTAATGTAATTTCCTATCTTTCTCCTCTTTTGTTCTTACAAAACTATTTCCAAGAAACCTTTTCTGATATGAAGAGGAAAAGGAGAAAAAATGAAATCTTCCTACTTGAAGAATCAGTCTTTTAGTTTATAACTCTTTTTTATATAGTAATTCAACCTATTGATACTTTGGGCGTGGGTAGTTCCCTTACTACCAATTTCAGGATCGGGATTCAATGTACAAATTTGGCTCTCTGTTCTATGCTATCTACTTCTTCGTCAGCTTCCCAATGTTCTTGAGGTAAGATCTCACTCTTGGTGCCTTAGTATGTATAAACAAGACACAAGTCTGCCATTTTTCTTCATGAGTTACAAAAACTAGACAAGGGAAGGAAGACAAATGACTACGATGGGGTACCCAGATTTTCCATGATTCCTTTGAATCATCTTCTATAGTTGTCACTCGCCTTTGCACATAATATGTATAAACATAAACTTCTGTAGTAGTTTGTCGAATTCCATATTACTTGAAAAGAAGAACGAAACATTCCTCACGAGAGTGAAAATTTCTCTCTAACAGACAAATATTGGCTAGCAGTGAGCTTGGACTGTTACAAATTGTATTAGAACCAGACACCGAGCAATGTGTCAATAAGGATGCTAGCCCCACGGGAGATAGATTGTGAGATTCCACGTCAAGCTATAATTTGTCCAATAGTGTTGAAAATTTAGGCGACTATAGTTTGTCCAATAGTGTTAAAAATTTAGGCGACTATAGTTTGTCTAGTGTTAAAAATTTAGGTGACTCTTACTTGTAGATGTAGCTGCCAAGTTTGGACCTTCATAGCTCTATTTTATCACATTAAGCCGTAGGGGCTTGTAAAGCATGCTTACACTTCTTTCTAATATCCTCCCATCATGTTGATTCAATGCACAACAGGATTGATGAGAAGCCTGGTGATCTCTGGGACTTGCAAAGAGTGGCCGTTGATTCTCTGGGAGCAGCAATGTTGGTGACAATCGTACTCGATCTATGGCGCATCTTCCTGGGGCCGATTGTACCAATTCCAAAAAAGCGATGCAGTGAGCCAGGGCTGCCATGGTTTCTTTAACAAATCAAATGAAACTTCAAAACCTGTTACCGTAGTTTTAGTTCAATTTTTTGACACTCTGAAACCCTTGTTTCAGATACCTTAAATAAAACAAAAAACTTCCTCATTGTCTACCACTTAACACTATTTGTGAGTTTTCCCTCACAAATTTACAAAGAGAGAAAACAAATATTAGATTCTTTGCTGTAATATGGTGTCATACACCTGCATCATTTTCCACCTGAAATATCATGTAATATTCAGATCTACATGTCCATGAATGATTCTTCTATTCTATCACTATGAAGATTAGTTAAAATTGAATAGGCATTTTTAACAGTAGACGATAATTGTGGGATAAAAAAAGATCTCGAGGAAGCAAAAGAAGCGTCAATCAAATGCTCATTGACTTAATCAGCAAAATTAATGAAACATGATAACTCTAAGACAATTTCCAGAAGCTCGCTTCAAGATTCATAGAAGCAAGTAGACAAAACAAGTTTGAAGAGGTAGAAACGAGAAACAGACACATGAGATTGTAAACAAATAATAAAAAGATTTTCCCTGGACTCGGCAACATCTTTGAAACCACCAAAGCTCAAAATTCTGCATGATGAGAACCATAGTTGGTTAAAAAAATTAAAGGGTATTCAAGATAGATAGTAAACATAAAATTTAAAATAGCTTATGTTGAAGGACATACATATTTTGTTGAAGGCCACAATATCACAGCTCTGGACATGCTCGTTTATGGGTTCAACTGTCAGACGTTCCTCAATCAAATTGTCAACAGACACCAAGTCATCCACAATTGTGAGCATTATCTGCAATTTCTTAATACCATATCCAACAGGAACAAGCTTGGCTGCAATTTAAATTTTAGTGTCAAAACCCATTTATAAGAAGTAACAATCAGTTGCATTACATGATAATAAAGTAATCGTTAGCAGATAATGTTGACACAAGAAAATGCTTTAGACTTACATGCTCCCCAGAGCAAACCTTCCATCTCAACGCTTCTCACGGCCTCTTCAAGTTTCTTCATGTCAGTCTCATCATCCCATGGTTTGATATCCATCAGAACTGAGGACTTGCCAGCTGAAAAAGAAAAGCATGCACCATATCATGAAAATCAGTTATGTAAATAAGTCTTTCTCTAACAGTGTAAAGGGGTTGCATAAAATCACTAAGAAAACTCACATTCCTTCTTCTTAGTAGAAGCCTTGATGGACGCTGCACGCTCCTCGGCAGCCTTCTTTTCCTCCTCAGTCTCTTCACCAAAAAGATCCATATCGTCGTCGTCGTCATCAGCAGCCTGAAAATTTTCAGAGTAATTAACGAGATGAAATCAGTCTAGCAAATTAACTCTATGATGCACCATGCACCAAGAGACAATGTATCGCCTTTGGTATGGAGCACACGAAACATATAGGCAAAAGTAAACATTAGATAATATTTCCACCTTTGCGTCCCCGGCCGGTGGGGTTGCAATTGCCTCAGCTGATTCGAACTTAACGCCAGAACCCTCTCCAAAAACAGCGCTATAAAACCATTATCAAACCCATCGGTTATAGAACAATTATTAAAGAGAACATAACCATAAATCTACGAGCATTAATTCAATGAAATCAGCCGCAAATTTAAGCATTTCGATTACTTACGAAACTCTCAAGAGTGCTTCGATGTGATTGCTCCACCTAGCCACGTTAAGATATTCGCTGGATACGGGTTTGGATAGACTCTCATAAACGGTAACATCATCCTTTGAAGGCTGATACCTGAAGAAAATCATTCATAAACGATGAACATAAAAAACCAGATCTACGCTTTACTCAGATCGAAGCCTTCGTATGAACACAATATCAAGTCAATTAAACAAAACGAGATCATAAACTAACCCGGAAATGTAGCTACGACTAAGCAAGTACTCGTCAAGCTTTTTCAAACCGGCTGCCGATTTGACATCATGGAGTGCGACCGCCATTTCAAACTGAAGAGATTTCTCTGTACGAAAATCCGAGAGCCTAGTAATTAATTCATAATTTGTCAAGAATTGAACTTGTGAGAGACATCGAGAGGAGTGGATCGGAAACTTACCGCCGGCAGGGACGCTGCAACTCAAAAATGAGAAGACGAGACTGGATGCTGATAATTTTGCTAAAGCCTGTTAGTGGCGTCTAGGGTTTCCGACTCTCTGCAGTATTTAAAGGATGGAGAAGGACGTAATCTGGTGCGCCGCATGTATGCTATGTTATTGAGCTCAATGCCAATCGATCTCTTAACTCAGTTAATCAATTTAAATTAAATTTGTATTGAATTACTAAGTTTTTTTGGTTTAAATTAACCTTTTAAATTTATTTATTTCTTTATAGATTTGTTTTAGCCTTTCTTTATTTATTTTAAAATTATAATTTTGATGTCACATTTTTATCTGTTTCTTCCCCTAAAAAAAAATATACAATATTTTAAAGTCTTAGTTTCAAATATAATAAAATATGCAATAAAAACACATTTACGATGGAGAGGTTTCTACACCTTTATAAACAATGTTTCGTTTCATGGATGATGTGCCAGCGATGTAACTAGGCACTGGAGGGGGCGGATTGTAAGAATCTCACATTGGTTGGGGAGGAGAACAAATAGAACAAAACAAGGTGTGGATAGTAAGATCCCACAATGGTTGAGATGGAGAACGAAACGTTTTTTATAAAAGCGTAGAAACTTCAGCTATATGGAAAATTACTTTCGGACCCACTACTTTTTCACCATACATTTCTATCATGGAGAATAGTTATGTTAGAATCGGAGAAAATTGAAAGGAAAAGTAAAAGAAAATAGCAGAAAAAAAATAAAGGATTTGTTAATTTTGTAGATACCACATACGAGGTTTCTTCTTCCGCATGTTTGCTTTTTGTTGTATCATGTCACATCCAACATGACTTAGAAGACTCCGACATTCTATTGCCCGGAGCATATTCAATAGGCTATCATGGTTGCATAGATTGTGGCTCTCTCCTACTTCGTTTTGCATACTTGGAAACTCTGGACATTTCTTTCTTAGAGGAATTTGTATCATTTTCAATCCCTGTTCGTATCTTATCGAATAGAAGGAGAATAACCATATCTTTCTACTCAAAGAATTAGTCCTATAGTTTACAACTCTTCTTTATACAGTAATTCAACCTATTGATACTTTGAGCGTGTGCAATTCCCTTACTACCAATTTCAAGATCGAGATTTAATGTACAAAGTTGGCTCTTTGTTCTATTTTTCCATTTTTCTTCATGAGTTACAAAAATTAGGCAAGGGAAGGAAGACAATGACAACCATGAATCATCTTCTATAGTTTTCATTGTAGGCACTCATTGTACAAAGTTTAGGTGACTCTTAAATTGATTGGAAAGAGAAACATTCCTCACAAAGATATGAAAATTCCTCCCTCCTCGATTATGAAAACCCTCCCTAGATTATGAAAACCCTCCCTAATAGAGGTATTTTGAAACCGTGAGATTGACTACAATACATAACAAAGAGCTTAAACTTGAGTTGTTGCAAATAGTATCAGAGTCAGAGAGCATTTGAGTTGTTGTAAATAGTATCAGAGTCAAAGAGCTTAAGCTTGTGAGCGATTGCAAATAGTATCTAAGTCAGACATTGGACAATGTACAAAACAATCGCAAGGTCACTTCTATTATAACATTAAGCCATAGGGGCTTGTAAAGCATGCTATTTTAGATTATTAAGTGGTAACATATAGTTCAGGGCCATCGTTAATGTGATGCCTTTCGAGTTCTCTTTTCTATTGTCAACTGATTTTAGCTTCCACACTTTACTCGACTCTGAAAGAGTTTTAACATCCTCCCTCCCATCATGCTGATTCAATACACAGCAGGATTGATGAGAAAACTGGTGATCTCTGTGACTTACACAGAGTGGCAGAACACTATTTCTTATGGTTGCTATCTTCCATTGCATGCAATGTTAGATACTTGGCTACATGTTGTCATACCCCTGCATCATTTTCAACATGAACAATCTCATGTAATATTCTGCTTTACATGCATGAACAATTCTTCTATTCTATCACTCCGAAGATTAGGAAAAATTGAATAGACATTTTTAACAGTAGACTGACAATTGCGGGATAAACAAAGATCTCGAATCAAATGCTCATCAACTTAATCAGCAAAATTCATGAAACATGATAACTCTAGGATAATTCATAGATAAAAGTAGCAAAACTGGAATGAAAAGTCGATACTGTAGACAAAACAAGTTTGAAGAGGTAGAAACAAGAAACAAAAGATCTTCCCCAGACTCGGCAACATCTTTGAATCCACCAAAGCTCAAAATTCTGCATAATGGGAACAATAATTGGTTAAAAAAAACTGAAGGGTATTCAAGATAGATGGTAAAATAAAAATGAGACGTACATATTTTGTTGAAGGCCACAATATCACAGCTCTGGACATGCTCGTTTATGGGTTCAACTGTCAGACGTTCCTCAATCAAACTGTCAACAGACACCAAGTCATCCACAATTGTGAGCATTATCTGCAATTTCTTAATACCATATCCAACAGGAACAAGCTTGGCTGCAATTTAAATTTTAGTGTCAAAACCCATTTATAAGTAACAATCAGTTACATTACATGATAATAAAGTAATCGATAGCAGATTATGTTGACACAAGATAATGCTTTAGACAATAATAATGGTTCAGAGTAAATTTTATAAAGTACTATCCTCTTAACAGGCAGTAGGATAGGGTAACAGAAGTACAGAAGAGCATGAAAAATGCAATGGAGAACAGAACTTACATGCTCCCCAGAGCAAACCTTCCATCTCAACGCTTCTCACGGCCTCTTCAAGTTTCTTCATGTCAGTCTCATCATCCCATGGTTTGATATCCATCAGAACTGATGACTTGCCAGCTGAAAAAGAAAAGCATGCACCATATCATGAAAATCAGTTATGTAAATAAGTCTTTCTCTAACAGTGTAAAGGGGTTGCATAAAATCACTAAGAAAACTC